GGGCGGCGTCGACAAGGTCGACATGTTATGTGCTTTGCATCCTATATGTTTCAGGTCACAAAAATGGTACATGCGTATTGCATGGAGAATTCTTGACTTGATGGTAATAAACGCTTGGGTTTTATGGAAACATATGTTACCTGATGATCAACGAAGCTGGAGACGTTCTCGTTTATTTTACTTTAAGATGGATATAGCAAATATAATGCTACGGGAACCAAGAGCCATTGAACGTCGAATGTTAAAGGTATTAGTTACAAATCAATCATCATCGGAATCAGATGATGATGATAATAATCTTGTTCGACAAAAAAGAAAAAGAGAAACTGCCTCGAATATTTCAAGTATGGTTCGTTTTGATGGTTTAGAACATTGGTCCCCATATCAACAAAGTTTACGCCTGCGATGTAAAAATAAAGGTTGTTCAATGAAGACAAACGTATATTGGTACAAATGCCAAGTCCATTTATGTTTTTGTACAACACGTAATTGTTTTAAAGATTATCATTGTAAAAATTAACAGATATATCTGACATACAAACATTGATACTTTTGCTATTTTTTTAATATAAATTTTGATTTGGATGAAATAAACTTGTTATATATTTTTTTGAAAAACATCTTTTTTCTTGTAAACAACTCATAATAGTGAAAGACTTATAGCTTGATACGAATAAATAAACATGCAGTTACGAAAATAAGTCAAGAAGTCAAATTAGTGAAAAGTCAAATTTTTATGTCATTCAGCACCAATGGGTCATCTGTGACCCATTTTGTATCTACACAGTGAAACGACCCTGTCAAGTGAATAATGGAAAAATGGTCATTAAAATGACCATTTTTCCATTACTGAATCATTTTGACCATTATCATGCACGGTTTCTAGTGAATAATGAAAAAATGGTCATTAAAATGCATTTTTTATCTATAAAACAAACATTAGGAACATTTATTATGAACTGATTCTATCTATTTAATTTTCAAGCTAATTCAGAAACTATCTTGAACTTCTAGAAATTATATGATAATACGAATGCCTAATTTTAGATGTTTATTTTTTATCATAATATAAGTTTAAGAACATTCTTTCAAATTAGGATATTGATAAAAGATAAAAGTATTTAATAGTGATGGATCTTCGTTGAATATTGGTCAAAAAGCAACTTTTTTTGAAATTTGAGATGGTTGAATAATAACTATAGAATCAGATAATACACTACCTTGTAAAATATTTTTGCACATAAAATTTCTTCCACTGATGTCAAGAGTGTCAGCCGTTGAAGTAATTCTAACTTTGTTTAGAACTAGACAGATCTCATCTCTATCAATAATACGAATGATATATGATATAAAACCAATTGAATAAGAATTCTTTTTTGTTTTATACAAGATACACGAATCATTAGAACGCCGAATTATTGTAAAATCATCGGCACTGAATCGTAAATTATCAAAAAACAAAGTCTTGTAAAATAAAAAAATAGATTCAGATGAATTTGGCCATTTCTGAAAGAAACTAGATGGTGATGATGTAATTTCTTGATGTAATTTTATATTATGTAAACCGTTTCGATAATTAAACGTAATTTCACGTGGTGAAGAAAATACTCGACTGACATATTCTTTTCCTGATGCGGGAAATGATGTGGATGAAACATAAATTGATGATTGACGATATAAATCAATATTTTTAATCAATTCACGTGTTGGTGTTGATCCACCATGTATAGTTCGAGCAAATGATGCTACTCATACATTCAAAATTATGATGGAAAGAAAAGATAAAAAACAAACCCATTGTAGATTCGAAAGAAAATGTCGAATAATTGAACATCGGACCACAATCCCGAACACATGAATGAAAATGACGAATTGAATGAATGACTGACACAAAGTGTCTCTCCTATATCAAGGAAAATATTTAAAGAAATAAAATGAAACATTGCTCACCGTATAAAGAGATACGAACTTTTCATCGAAGTACCTCCCTAAAAATTCTATCTCCTTATGAGCATTACCAGACAAATATTCTCCTTCAACTAGATGTGCTATAAAAGCTAACGTTTTTAGATGAATAAAACGTTTTTTATCAAGAAAATTTTCAAACGCTCTAAATAAGATCTAAAAGATGAAATACATTTGAAAAGTTGTGGACTTAGAAATATCCAAATAGTAAA